GAAGGAGCAACGAAGATGCTGGTCGACGTTCCGAGCAGGCACGGCGGAGCAGACCGTCGTCGGTGGCGATGCTCCGGTGGCTGTGGTGGTCAAAATGAGAAATCAATGGGTCATAGAGTACCACGGCATCGAGGCGAAGCTGAAGCAAGACTCAGTAGGGGCAGAGGCGCACCGTGGAGCTCTGGCCACGGCGAAGTGCTTGCGACGGGGACGTTGCCGGCCATGAGGAAGAAGAGCGCGCAGAGTGGTTTTCCGGTGAAGTCAAGCAACAAAAGCGGGTTGGTTGGGTGCGCAAGGAGCAGGCGGAACTATTGAACGCTACGCTACGACGACACAGGCGCTGGTTCGACGGTGGGAGCTCGCCGGAGATGAGCAAGGCAACGGGAAAACAGAGGAGGAGGAAACGGCAAGGACGACGACGGCTCAGGTTATAAAGGATGGCCAGGAAGCGCAAGGAAGCCACGGTGAAGCCATTTCCCTCGCCAGCGCAACGCCCAGACGGCCACGCGCGCGACTGGAAACAAGCCGAAGGATCGCTAGCAATGTAGCTTAGGAGGTGAACACTGTTCACAGAAATTACAAAATTGCCATTCACCAAAATTCACAAATTACTCTCAAATTTTCACAACAACTCAAAAATCTCCAAAAACAAAAGTTGTTCAAAATCAAAAGTTCTACAACTTTGCTTTTATAACCAACCCCTAATTCGGTCTACATTTTGAAATGAACTTTTGAATTCAAATAGGGGACATTTAAGGAATTTCACCTTTTCAAATAACTTCAAATTTTACTAAACAACTTGGAAAACTCCAAAAACAAACTTTGTACAACTCAACAAGCCCTATAATTTTTCTTTAAGGCTCAACCCCAAAATGTGCTTTGATTTTGAAATGGGTTTTCAGGGTAGGATTTAAATATTGAAAATCAGGGTTTTCGGAATTTCAAATCAATACAAAGATTTCAAACTTGATTCAAACAATACCAAGCAATAGTTATAACATAAATATAAACTTGTTTTAGTGAATGCATATCAAAGTTTGCAATATGACCAATGCCTTGCAATGCATATGATGATATGTCCAGTTTTTAATACTTAAACACCCGGGGTGTTACATCATCCACGGGCTCCCAGTGCCCATGATCGTGCGTGGTGTCGGCGCTCGGTCCATCGAATGCTTGGACCACAACCTGCTTCCGACATCCGACGGCACTTCTCCGCTCTAGACGTAGAAGGCTGGTGCAAGGTCCTGTCATGTGGGTCATCTGGAGGCCACGATGAGGCTCTGCCATCGAGCCTAGTGCCCCGTTTTCCGCCACAACTGCCCAGGAAATGCCTCAATTGCCTCTCCTCCAAGCACAGGGTGGCGACCTGCAGACTACCCCAGCGCTGCATGCGTTGCAGGGGCCTCCGCCACCGTGCACGTGACTGCAAGAGGCCCCGAGCAGGCTCGGCAAGGACCGGCATGCCTGATGAGTTGGGCGCACCCCATCAACGCGTCCAGTCACACACTCATGGCGGTACATGTGGCTTGCGCGCAGATGGTGGTGCGCTGGGCTCGGACGAAGCCATGGCGGACACCGGAGGGCGACGCGGCAAAAGACGCCGACACTAACGACGTCGCAGGCATCGGGAACGACCAAGAGATGACGGCAACGCTGCAGCGCCAGACAACACTGCCGCTGCCAACGACAGTGTTGTCTAGGATGGTCACGGTGAGCCAGGAGGAGCTATGCTTGCGTTGACCGCTGCTGCATCTGAGCCAACCAGTGAGGTATGGAGCCTTTCCGAGCTCGATCTGTTGCTCACACAGTACTCGGACGCCACGCACACCGCATGCGACGTCTTAGAGGACCCGATGATGGAGAAGATTGCTGCCTCGCTCGCGGTCTGTCGGATGGCCGCCGGTGACCGCCTCGGTATCCCTGCTCAAATGGCAACGGGCTTCGCTCCATAGCCGCCTGAACACGGTCAGGCTCAGGTCACGCCACTTCGGGTGGCGTAGACCACCCCCTCAGGAGCTGCCGCCCCTACGGAGGATGAGGAGGGCGGTCCACCTGGCTTTGGTCTGCCCGAGGCCACGACGGATGCTGACATGTTCAATACGCCGCCTCGGGAGGACCGCACGGTCGACGTCAGTGGCAGCTCCGCCGCACGCCGCCTCGAGAGAGCTTCACCAGGCGCGTGCTGAAGAAGGTCGACTCTCCGCTTATTCGTGAGCCTCCCAAGCAGCCTCCTGCTAAGCCGGTGATGCCGTGGCGGAGCAGACAGTTGGCGGGTTAGGAGCTCTCTCGAGTACCTGCTTCCAAGCAAGGTGAGGTGCTGATCATGCAGCGTATGGGTTACACCAAGTGTCCAGCAACGCTATCCGCGTCGGAGCTGGAGGCCTTTGACAATATCTTCGACGGCAACCTGACTGCATCCAACGTCGAAGCGCTGGACGCACTTTTCCCGGACGGTGGAAAGGGCTCGTCCAGGCAGCCGCGAAGACGCAAGGGCACCTCCTAGGTCGCACCACTGCGTCGATATTGGTTGTTTTCTTTTATGTAATATCGAAACTAGAGATCTTCTACTATGATGGTCCAGCTACAGCTGTTTTAGGTCGACCTCCTTTGGTGTTCGGTAGATGTGCGTTGTCTGTATGTTTAAACTCTTCTTCTTAATACAATGATACGCAAATCTTTTGCGTATTCCAGAAAAAAACAAAGTTCTTTTTGGAATGCTTCTTTGGTGTAGCACAGTTTTACATAAAAACCTGAAACAAACTTCAGTACGCTCTTAAAGGTTTTGTTTCAAGACTTCTGTCTCGCAGGGTAGTGCTTCAGATGAGGGCTTCTGAGCCGTGCATTGCAGATGTGGTATGTGTTTTCCTGAGAAGACACTGGATAAGACACACCGTCTTGGGCTTAATCGTGTCTGTTTTGTGTTCACGAGTTGAAACTTCTCCCCTGGCCCCGTCAGACAGTTGTCTAATCTGGAAAGCTACATGCCCCGTCCAGTGCTTCATTTGCTTGTGCTGGACTGCTGGGGCTTGGTGGTAAGGTTATCTTGTCCTGACGAGCTTCCGTGGTGGAGGCACGAATGAAAAGTGAAAACTGCTACCAGTAGCCTCTGGTTTCTTCCATGTGGATTATTGAATCTATAGTCATGATGTTCAATTTTTCTTAAGATGCTCTCACTCCAAGACGTTGACACTTGAGAATTGAGTTTAGCAGGGAATAAGGTACGTCCTGTTGGCGTTTCTTTTGATCCTACCACCTGTGTAATGCATGTCTGCTCTGGTACATGCTCCATCGTGGTCCATATAATTGAGCATTCGAGCTGCCTTCGTGCTAGAGCTACAATTGTTTTAGTGATCTTATCGGTGAGGTCCACGGCAACAGGCAAGGAACCAAATCGAAGTAATATGCCGATTTGCCTGTCAGTTTGACTGACCACGTCGCTGACACTATCATATCGATCCTATCTTAGATCTGCAAAGAACCAAATCGAAGTAGGCCCTCTTCGCTTCTCTTATAATCCGTCTTTTTCAGCTTGTTTTTTTAGCCGGAATAGTGTTTTCTCTCACAACAAATCAGCCAGAACAGTGTTTCGGCTTGTTTTTTCAGCGAAGCGAACGGGACCAATATGTTTTCGTCGACACCGATGCCCGAATGGGCAGGTGTCGATGGGAGGGGTAGCACATTTGGAGCTAAATACTCGGTCGAGAATCACTTTGTGGTTAGTCGTCAGGGCTATGATGTTCTGGTGTTGTGGATATTTTTGTGTTTTAATCTGTGCCTATGTAAAGTTTTCAGCCCTGGTTTTCCTTATAAACTAGGGTACCGTTTAGTTGGCAAAATTTTTGGCGAAATGCCATGTAGCACTTTCGTTGTTATTTGACAATTAATGTCCAATCATAGTCTAATTAGGCTTAAAAGATTCGTCTCGTAAATTTCGTCTAAACTGTGTAATTAGTTTTATTTTTTATTTATATTTAATGCTTCATGCATGCGTCTAAAGATTCGATGTGACGGAGAATTTTGAAAAATTTAGCATTTTAGAGTGGAACTAAACAGGGCCTAGGCCAATTCTATTTATCTTAATTAAAAGGCGGAGCTCCTGCCATTACTTTTAAAAAGAAAAAAGAATCGCTTTGCGTGTGATATGGAGCACGGCTAAACAGCAGATATAACTACATCAATACAGTTTCGCTTCGACATGTAGCAGGAAAAAATTGCTCTTTCCCAATATTGATGATTACACCTCATTATACATAAATAGACATAACTGATGTCAATACACTAGTAATAGTCATTAGAGAACTAGACCGAGCCCTAAATCAACTGAAGAGAGGGAAGCAAAGAACGACGAACGCCTGAGGAGGTCCTACATCTTGCGGGGCCTCTATGCATCTTCCGTTGGCTTTGCTCCAAATGCTTTGTTGTTGTGATATCGGCGTCTAATGCGGAAGCGATTGCTTGAATCTACCGCGGGATGCTCCCGAGAGATCGCACACACCACGCAGGAGGCTCGATGTTTGGTAACAAGGTTCGGCCGAAGCCTACGTCCCCGGTGCATTGCTTACGGACGCTGCTCCCCGAAACCGCGACACTGGCCGCCCGAGGCGCCGGCCAAAACCGTGGCACCCCTCTCGAGCCTGTCACCTTTGTGTTGCTACTCTCAAGTGGTGGGTTACAAGTGCAGCCCCCTCCTCCTTTTATAAAGGGCTTGGGTTATAAGAATCAACACCTAGCTCACTTAACCATATACCGCTAATTACAACACAAATCCACTATAACTCCATTAGTACAAATAAATATTCGACACATTTCTAACATTTGGCGCCTCCTTGTCCTCGATCTTCTGAATCACGTGTTGATGCTTCACCTTCTCGGCTTCTTGGTAACCCTCACGTAGCTTCCATTTAGTATTCTCCATCTTCTTGCTTTGAGTGATGACCGGCTTCTTAGCCTCCATCTTCTCGCTTTGAGCGGCAACCGGCTTTCTTGGCCTCCATCTTCTAGCTTTGGGTGACGATCGGCTTCTTGGCCTCCATCTTCTCGCTTTGAGTGACGATCGGCTTCTTGGCCTCCATCTTCTCGCTTTGAGCGACAACCTTCTTGATTGCTGTAGAGATGCCCTGGCGTGGGATCCGATCAACAGAGAGCATGACGAGCTCATCCTTCACTGATGTAGCTGTGGCGACGTTGGTCGCCTTCCACCCGTGCACTACGTTGCCTGCGAGGGTCCAGATCCAGGTCGAGCCGTGGTTCCCGAGGGCGCCGATGGCCCTTGCGAGGTCAGTGGACGCCAGCGCGTTGTGTAGGACAGGCGCCAGCCGCAGAGTCTCGAGCGCTTCCACCATAACATCATCAAGCGCAATGCAGAGCTGCTTGGCCACATCGTCGTCCGAGGCACGGTGGAGGAGCTGGACGATCCGGACCCCCACTTCTCAGAACGCGGCACGCATGTGGTCGGCTGCCTTGATTGCTTCGTCAATGGCACCGAAAGCGCTGTAGAACGGCCTCCGGCGCAGGCTCGGCCCTAGGGCAGGGCGAGCGGGGATGTATATTATACTTTGTATGGCTTTTGGTTCTAATTTGTCTAAAAGTGGATGAACTTAATGTAGATAGGTTGCATGTAGAGGTACATAGGCGGGAGAGAGGAAGACACGCTGGGTGGCATGGGATGATATGATTATGCCAAAGTTTCTTGGCGGAATGGGTTTCTAAGATATTGAGCTATTCAATCTTACTTTGCTTATGAAGTAGGTTTGGCGGATCCTTCAGGAACCGGCATCTCTGAGCGCCCGGATTTTAAAGGCGGTTTATTTTCCACAAGGTGATCAATCTTAGCTCCGCCCCCTCTAAAATCTGGTGATCAATTTTGGATGGCAGGGAACTGCTTCAGCTCGGCCTGATCAGGAGAATCGACTTAGGTTTGGCTAGGTTAGTTTGGAATATGGACTGGCTACCGAGTGATAGTATGCGGTGGTCAGTACCCAGCGCTCGCCCACACCGCCCACAGCTTGTGAGCAAGCTAATTGACAGCACATTGGCAGCTTGAGAACGAATAAAGCTTCAGGAATTATTCATACAAACTGATATTGATGTGATTCTTAATATCCCTCTATGTCATCGGAGCCAACCAGATTTCCAGGCTTGGCATCATGACAAGACGGGAGTTTTCACAGTAAGATTCGCATATAGAATGCTTATTATGCGGCGTGCTTTGTCAGAGAATGCAGCAAGGTCTAATAGGAGAGAGGAAGAGAAGGAGTGGCCATCCTTGTGGCAGGTCATGGTGCCTTCAAAGGTATGAATTTTTATTTGGCGGCTCGCAAAGCACTCATTGCCATCAGCAGATGTTCTTCATCTGTAGAAATATGGCTGATCATGACCAATGTGCTTTATGTGGAGCCCTTGATTCTTGGAAACATTGCTTGCTTGAGTGTAATATGGCGAGATGTGTATGGGCATTGGAGAGCGAGGAAATCATCGAACACCTGGCAAAACGTAGGAGGAAAGCTCAAGAGGTTGGTTGGCGAACATGTTTGAAACAATGTCCCATGCCGATCTTATTCGGGTGTTGGTAACTATGTGGGCAATTTGGTATGCAAGAAGGAAGGTGAAGGCCTCAGAAACAAAGGCCCGCACATCGAGAAGGTTCTAGAGATGAAGACCTGCGCCTCGAGCGAAGCCGATGAACCATGTTACAGACGCAGCAGAAGGAGCCAAAGCCCAAAGATGAAGATGTCTGAAAGATCAAGGTGCTTGGAGCTAGAATCAAAGCCTTGGGAATTGGAGCATGTATAAGTTAGAGTTGTGCGCGTGCTCTTTTCTTCATGCCCTTTTTTCCCATAGGGTTTTTGGATGGAGTTTTTAGTGAGCCACACACGTGCAAGTTACGAAGGGCGATCCTTGCAACCAAGGTTTGAGTTGTATTATGCCTCTTCTTGTATGAGCATCTACTAGATCATGTAGTACCGGCTATAACCTAGTAGCTAAGGGGCTACTGTTGGGGGAGCCCATATTCATATAGGCCAAACTCCCCCATATAAACTAGGTTGTAAAATGTCGTTGCCTATATATAATGCCAAGAGCATGACGGTAAGAAACTCGCCCCTCTCACTCATTTGCAAATCCTAATCACCAACTCTCCTCTCTCTACCCTCTTAACATGTTCGGAACGCAAGTTTCCAACAAATACTATCTTGTTTCAACTATGTTAGTTTCAGTTAATAATTGTTCAATTCCTCACGTAATCAAGAAATTTGTCTCAAGAGAAATTAAATGGTTGACAACTATATGCATTGACGAACAACTTTATTCAATCTAGTTTATAAAAATGCTTTTGTATATATTTCATATATTTATTGGTAACATTATTACATAAATATGAGTATTATTGATATGATATTTATAATAAGGGCCCTGATTTCAGAGTGTCACTCTATGTCCTAGTAAACTCGGCACCGGGACTGCTCTAGTGTTGGAGGGGGCTCCCGCTCTGCTCGTTGGCCATGGCAGCGGTGGGCGTGGGATGCATCGTGCAAGGTCTCGTGGATGGGTGGTGGATTAGATGGGGAGATGAGAGAGCCGCACGAGCAGTGATTATAGCACCATGAGTACGTGAGTTCGAGTTGGATACGCGGTCGCGAAAAAATAGAATCGGATGCACGGTCGAGTTGGATACACGCATGAGCAGTATTCTTTTCTCTCATTCATTTGCGATCCAAGAACAGATTAAAGAAGGAACCACGGATGGATTTAATCAAAAGTAAAAAAATTTGGTGGCCAAGAAATGGACGAATTTTAGAAAATTCAGTCAATTATTTTGACTTGTCAAAAATTTATAGTTTGATAAAGTTTTATCAAAATTTGAGCAAAGTTGAAGAAAGCCATGGCACCGCAACTATGCATATGTAGCATCAACAACGAAAAGGATCCTTCTGATTCTCAAAGAATGAGGGGCAAGGGGATTGATACCGTGAAAGATTTCTTCCATACTTGACCCAAAGCCTTTCTCAAGCAGTTCATCATGCTACATGGCACTCAACTTCTCTTGTCAGTTATCCAGATGCCCTCCAAGCAAACTAACCTTGCTAAGTGCTAGCCAGGTGAAAGTTCTTATCGCTAGTAGTTACTCGTTCCATATTGCTTACTATTTTTATATAGCTAGAAAGTTGAGTAAGAAGTTCTTTTATTCTATAGAAAAATCACTTTCCTGTTTTGTTTTTCTCATTATATAACGCTGAGAACAAGGTTCCTTTTTGGGTATCCCTGGGAAGAGATCCAGTTCAACACACACACATTTTGCGTGGGTGCACAGTGCATGGTTCTATGAAGTGAACACAAAAGCAGAAGTAGCAAAAAAACACTTAAAGGTGTAGTGTTACCACACTTCGTTAAATTTATCGACGCCACTAGCGCCCGGACGCCGGTGCACTGGCGCCTGCTTCTTCTTTCTCGTGCTCGGCCTACCCCCGCCCATCCTCCTACGCCTATGCCCGACTTCTCCTCCCTCGCCCTCTGCCGCTGGCCACCACCCCGCCCCCCACCACCCTGCCACGGCACGGTAGGGTCTCGCCGGAGCTCCGCCACCGCGGTGAAAGGTCGAGATGGCGAATAGAGGGGGGGTGAATACTCCTTTTTAAAACTTAATCGCGTCGGCTAACCGAAACAAGTGCGGAATTAAAACTATCGGTCTAGCCAAGACTACACCCCTCTATTTATGTTCTTTAGCACCTTTCAAATATACTAATTAAGTAATTAAGGTGCTGGGCTAGCTAGAGCTCACCTAAGCAATTCTAGGAGCAAGGTCACACAAACCTATGCCACTAGTACTTTAAGCGACAAGGGAGCTCCTACACATGCTAGTAAGCAAAAGCACAAAGCCACCTAAGCTCACTAGCAATGCTCAATAACAAGGCAACCAATGCCAAATTAGAGAGCGCAAATACTTAGCTACACAAACTAAGCAATGTGACTAACAAGGTTACTCAACCCAAATTAGCCATGCAAGGGAGCTACTTCTATGCTACACAAGCAAGAAGGTAACTAATATGCTACACAAGCAAACTAATTACAAGAGCAACTACACAAGCTTAATATATATGAAAGTAAATGCAAGCTTGTGTAATGGGGAAGCAAACCAACGGGAAGAACAAGGTTGACACGATGATTTTTCTCCCGAGGTTCACGTGTTTGCCAACACGCTAGTCCCCGTTGTGTCGACCGCTCACTTGGTGGTTCGGCGGCTAATTAGCATCACCCGCTAAGCCCGCACGTCGGGCACCGCAAGAACCTACCCCGAAAGTGAGGGTAGCTCAATGACACGCTCAACTAGAGTTGCTCTTCACGGCTCCTGCGGGGCGAGCACAATGCCCCTCACAAAGCACTTCTCCGGAGCGCCGCACAAGCTTCTTGCGGGCTTCGACGGAGACCACCACCAAGCCGTCTAGGAGGTGGCAACCTCTAAGAGTAACAAGCACCACCGGCTTGCAACTCGATCACCTAGTGCCACTCGATGCAACCTCACGATGCAATCGCACTAGAATCGCTCACTCACACAATCGGATGATCACTATCAAATATGTGTGAGATGGAGGGCTCCCAAGCACTACTACACAAGCCACCAAGGCTCTAGTGTGCTCAGCTACCGGCCCAAGGCCGACCATGGCTTCTATTTATAACCCCACGAACAAATAGAGTTGTTACCCCTTCACTGGGCAAAAGTCAGGACGACCAGACGCTCCGGTCCGATCGACCGGACACTGGACCTCAGCGTCCAGTCACGCGATACTCGCCACGTGTCCCCTCCTTCAAATGCTGTTCATCCGATCTCAATGGTCATCTGACGACCGGACACAGCAGCTTCAACTGACCGGATGCTGAGCCCCCAGCGTCCGGTCGTTTCTAGTAAGGTTCCAGAAACGACATTTCACGACCGGACGCGTCCGGTCGATCGCGATCGGACGTAGAACTAGCGTCCGATCACTGTCCAGCTTCTGCTCTACCTGTGTCACCATACGTCAGCACTGACCGGACTCAGCCCCTGAGCGTCCGGTCAGATTACACTCCAGCGTCCGGTCATAAGACCGAGACCGTGTGCTTTCTGCTGTCACTGACCGAACTCTGAACCCAGCGTCCGGTCACAGCACCACCAGCGTCCGGTCACTCTGTTGACCCCTGTCTTTTCTATCTTGGGCGCCGGTGGCACCGTCGGACTGTCCGCACTCTACGGGCGGACACTCCGTCGGTGGAGTTTCTCCTTTCGCCTCCATTTCTTCACCGAGTTGATCCACATCAACTCCAACTTCATCTCCTTTGTAAATGTGCCAACCCCACCAAGTGTACACCACCA